CCCCGAGGGCATCACTTCCCACTTTGATAATTACTGTAGTTACCATGTTCTGAACATCACATCATTTCTTTTCCCTCAGATGTAATCTATCGGTGGTTGAATAAAAATATTTGGACTTTATTTTTGAAAAATTACCTCAATTTAGCATCAGCTAGCGTTATTGACTTATTTTCAGCATGGTTGTTTATGAACAGTGCTGGGGAAAGTTACTTTTAAAAGTAATGCATTGCAATATTGCGTTACTCCATAAAAAAGTACTAATTACGTTACTTAGTTACTTTTTATGGAAAGTAATGCGTTACGTTACTTTTGCGTTACTTTTTTAAATCTGGACAGGGCTTGCTTGTTTGTTTTTAATATAAAAAAAAGTTATATTTTTGGCAAATATAAAAGCCTTTTCATACCAAAAGTGAAATGAATAAGCCTCAGGCTGAAGGAAATGTAATTTTACGTCCGTACAGTAGAATGCAGAAGAAGACATTTCAACACACTTCAGCAATAAAAAAAACATGTTTGTCTAGAGTAATTTGTGCTTATTAGTACAGTTGAACTGGATCATCGAAGGTCAGAAGCAAATAGAATGGGATTAAATACATAAAGGATATTTGTGTTGTTTAACATTTAGTTATTGCAGGTTTGCGTCATATTCTGAGTTGCATTATTTTTATTCATTTTGAGGAATACTGAATCTGTGTTTGTTTTTTGTGAGTGAGATGAATTAATGCATATTCATATTTATTTTAGAACTACAGTAACATCTTCTGATTTCTGTCACCATGGCAACACCAGAGCTGTCAATCAATAAATTGGGGGGAGAAAAAAAAGTAACTCAGATATTTTCTTGTAAATTAAAAAGTAATGCGTTACTTTACTAGTTACTTGAAAAAGAGTAATCTGATTACGTAACTCGCGTTACTTGTAATGCGTTACCCCCAACACTGGTTATGAATAAACATCTATATTTGTCTACTCGGCTAGTTGATCCAGATACATAGTAACTGGTAAACATAATAGTACATAAACATAACATTTGTAGTGTTGCACTTTCTTCTCCTGCGTCCTGTGCTTAATGCAATCCAGAGAAAAAGTAACACGAAATGAATGCATTACCTTCCATAAAAAGTAACTAAGTAAAGCAATTAGTTACTTTTTAGGGAGAATGCGATATTGTAATGCATTACTGTTAAAAGTAATGCAATTGTTCACACGTGTTCACTCTCACATCGCCTCCTGCTGGACATCAAGCTACGTTTCTTCCCGTTTCACAAATTGTTCGTTTTTAAATTAATACTTATTATGCATACGCATCTTCTTTGTGACGTGTTAAATTAAACCTTTAAGAAACAAAATAAAAACCACAATTTCCCTTTTACGCAAATTATTCCAACGTACTTTTAATTTAAAGACTTTTAATTTGTAACAGCCCCTCGATAAGGAACTTCCGCCGCGCAAGATGACGCTTCCTCCGTAGCTTCCTGTGCGTTTTCTCCGGCCGCTCTGCTCTTCAAACACGTCTGATCATGTTGGGCAAAATAATCGGACAGAAATACGTGTCTATCGCGAAATCATGGTAAGAACATGGTAAAGCTCCGTACAGCAGGACGACTCTGCTCTTTTATTAATATGATGTGTTGGTTTTTATTAATAGCGTTGTCCTTGTGGCGACCTGACTAGCTAAAGCTAAAGCTAACGAGCTCAGGTCACGAGAAAACGCACTAAACTTTACTATCGTGCTCTTTCCACTCGTTCTTTTGCTTTATATAGTATATATTATTTATTTGATAGTGTAGTGTGTGTTTATGTGGCAGCTATTTGTGTTTTCTTATCAATGTTTATTGGCGTGATTGTTGTTCGCGCTAGTCATCAATACAAACGATAGAAAGACAGTCAAATTGTGGCAAAATGCTTCTTACACTGTTCAATAAGATTAAAAAATATATATCTGACAATATATATTGTTTTACAGCCTGTCTGACCTTCAGTTTGATTTCCTTTGTCTTGAAAAACCTTCATGTTCTGGTTTATATTATTGTTTATAGTAACATTAATAATAGAACCTTAACCTCTTAATTGCTGTTTGATTTAATAGTTTTGAAATAAACGTGTGTCTTTAACCCTGTAAAGTCAGAGACTCAAACTGAGCAAACTATAATTTGGTGCAGATGCTGATATTTCTATGATGAGATGCTTGTAATGCAACTCAATGAGATCTTTATAACAGTACAGCAGATACTGACATAAAATGATCTAAATATCAGTCGTGGCTCTATATCTCCAGTAAACTGTCTCAGTGAGATGAGATTGAAATGCTCCAAACATATAATGCAGTGATTGAGAGCTGAAGAAATAAAGGCTCCTCAGAAGATGTGAGATGTTCTGGAGGCTTGTGAAGATCATTCCTCCGCTGAGGAACAGTGAAAGTAAAGCTTCTGGAAACAAACGCTCCTCAAAAGATCCTGAGGATCAGATTTGAGACTAAAACATGATTGATGGAGAATCAAGTAAAGCTGAGCTGCTTCAGTCCAGAAAGTGTTCATCTGGAAATATTACTGCAGTTATTCTGACGCTTACTTGAGAAAAAATCAGTCAAGATTTGACACGAGAAGCAGCAGCTGAAGCTGGACGCTTGTACAATTACACTAAAAGAGCTTTTACTGGATAAAACACTCTAAACTATCAATCAGAGACTGAAGAGATGCAGGAGATTGAGTGTGAACCAGGTTGATGATTTAGAGGCCTTTGATCCATCATTAGCTCATGAGTGTGATGTTCTCCAGGGTTCCCACGCTCGCGGTCTGGGGAGGAGTTGGAGGTGTTGCTCTCGTTCACTTCTCAGACTGGAGGCTCATCTTGGACTACGTTCCCTACATCAATGGAAAGTTCAAGAAGGAGGATTAGATGAAGGTTTGTCATGTTGATCTCTCATTAAAATGTCTGGACTTCAAGAACAAGCAATTATTTTCATAGACACTTTTTTTTAAAGAAGTCTCTTCTGCTCACCAAGCCTGCATTTATTTGATCCAAAATACGGTAAAATTGAAATATTTTTACTATTTAAAATAACTGTTTTCTATGTGAATATGTGTTAAACTGTAATGTATTTCTGTGATGCGCAGCTGTATTTTCAGCATCATTACTCCAGTCTTCAGTGTCACATGATCTTCAAAAATCATTCTAATATGCTGATTTGCTGATCAAGAAACATTTATTATTATCATTATCAATATTCAAAACAGTTGAATAGAAAGATCAGCATTTCTCTGAAATAAAAAGCTTTTGTAACATTACACACTATACCATTCAAAAGCTTGCAGTCAGTATGTTTATTTATTTTTTATTTATTTATTTATTTTGGGGGGGGGGTTAATATAATAAAAATTAATACTTCTATTTAGCAAGGATGCTTTAAATTGATCAAAAGTGATAATAAATACATTTATAATGTTCCATAAGATTTCTATTTGAGATAAATGCTGTTCTTCTGAACTTTCTATTCACCAAAGAAACCTGAAAAAATTCTACTCGGCTGTTTTAAGCATCTTAATAATAATAATAAATGTTTTTTGAGCAGCAAATCGGGATATTAGAATGATTTCTGAAGGATCATGTGACTGGAGTAATGATGATAAAAATTGAGATTTGAAATCACAGGAATAATTACATTTTAAAGTATATTAAAATAGAAAGCAGTTGTTTTAAATAGTAAAAATATTTCACAATTTTACTGTTTTCGCTGATCAAATAAATGCAGGCTTGGTGAGCCGAAGAGATTTCTTTAAAAAAACATTAAAAATCTCACTGTTCAAATACCTTTGACTGGTAGTGTATGATATGGAAATCTTTTTTTCTGAATCAGATTTCATGTTTTGTTTTGTTTTGAAACTCTTCAAACAACAAAAACTAAATGGATTAGATTTGTACTATCTGTCTGAACAAAGAGTCACGTTTCATTTGACTGCTGATGTCTGTATTTGCTGAATCTTACTTCTATTGTTTTCTGTGTTCCTGTTGGTCAGTCTTGCTTCAGATGGATTGAAGATGGAGATGTTTGTCGCTGTTGGAGATGAAGACATCGATCCACCGTGTGAATCGCCCACCTTTTGTTCATCACTGCTAATAAACCATGTGATATTTATTTTTTGGAGTGTTCAATCCATTTTTCCCTCATGAAAAGTCTCGCGATCAAAATCTAATGATTATACAGATGTAATGTTTTCTATGTGTCTATAAAGAGCTTCATCATTTCTTTCCACTGAATCCTCATGGAATAAATACACTGTAATTCTGTTATAGAGAACATCATCGTGGACCTGAACTCAGCTTTTTAATTCTGTTGTGATCTCAGTGTCGTCCGCGGGTTACTGGTGATGCTTGTTAATAAATCAAAGAAAATTAATTTGAGGTGTCTGTTATGCTTTATGATCGCCAGTTATACATATGCACGAGTTTACCAATATTAACATGTGTTTTTATGGTCATCTGATTCTTATATATAATTAATTGGTTTTTATTTTCAGTTAAACTGTTGGATTAATGTGCATACGTTTTTGAATCAGGCTTCAAATCTTCCAATACACCAGTGTTATTTTAGGATCATATTCAATTATGATTTTTGTTGATACTTTGCATGAGAGGCAAAAATCATATTTTATGTTTTAGTAATTTTTTGTTTCTTTTATTAGTTTTTATATAATATACGTTTATTTAGGTTTAGTACTTAAACTAAGAAAATAAGAAATATTTTATTAAATTAGATTACTGGGCTTTAAAAATATACTTTAAAAGATTTTGTCGTTTTTACATATGAACAACTTTTTTGATACAGTGAGTCGATTCTAACCGAACAGTAAGATCCGATTCAACGAGTCTCCATTCATCGCCATCCTTTGTTAGACAACAATCGACTCTGAAATCGATACAGACTTTCTGAGACTTACAGCAAATGTGTTTTCAGCTCTTTTATTTTATTAAATAATAATATTTGATTTTTTTTACTACTCCGCAGATGAGTGAACTGCGAGTCGACTCTCGGTTCTCAGAGAGTCGCGAGTCAGAAGCTCGTGAGGTGAGCGGATCGAGAGCAGCGCCAGCGGCCGCCTTCGACCCTAAACATTCACAGCTTTTCCTCCAGAGAGACTCCGGGAGAAACATGGAGAGGAAAAGGTGGGAGTGCTCGGCTCTCCCAAATGGTTGGAAAAGGGAAGAAGTGACCAGAAAGTCGGGCTTGTCCGCGGGGAAAAGTGATGTCTATTATTTTAGGTACTGCAGCGGGATTAGCCGGAGACCAGCGAGCCGAGACAAAAACCATTTATATATTAATTAACAATGTCTAATCCGACCTCAATCGGCTATCTGAGTACTCTAGTACGTTATTATTACAGATTATTACCGTTTGTAGTGCGTACGTTAAACTAATCGTGTTTTAGCGTCTCCTGCGAGTTAGCACTGAGCGCTAATCTGCTCTAGCAGCCATGCTAACTCATTGTTTTTGTTTTGCTGACTCTCAGTTGATCCAAGTTATCTATCGTTTTGTTCTAGTTTCAGTTGAATACATATTTCCTTATAGTCTGTCTAGCGTTTATATTCGAGTCTGCACTGTATTTACGATTAAAAAATGCTAATTTAAACGGTTAACACTGGTAAGTGATGCAGCGGCTGCAAAAGTTCAAATAATTTGTTAATAATCGCTCATTTATCATGAGAAATTGATGAAATATTCAATTTATGAAATGTATATTTCATATAAATGCCAATTATCATTTGCACCATGGTATTACCGTCTGAGACTGTCACTTTACTATGGTACGAACACAGTTTTTAGGTGTGTGTCTGTATTCATTGTAATTCTTCACTCAAAAATCCTCCCTGTATATATATAAAATTATGTTTTTATTATTTTTGTGACATCTAAAATGGGTTATGTGTTTTTCTGTGGTGATTTGTGTTAATGCATATCTATCTTTCTTGTTTAACACTAGAATTATCTGTAAAACATGCATATGCTGGGTTGACAGGTTATGCAGTGGAAGTGCTTTTGTCGGTCTGGAAGATAAGGAATGTTTTTTTTATCTTTCCTTTCCCTCTTAGTCCAACAGGGAAGAAGTTTCGGAGTAAACCACAGCTGGCCCGATATCTGGGAAACTCCATGGATCTCAGCTCCTTTGATTTCCGCACAGGGAAGATACTAATGAGCAAACTGAATAAGAACAGGCAGCGGCTTCGCTACGATCACGGTCAGAGCAAGGTAAAGACTGACCGAATGATGTGCACTGCAGTTTTTGCTTTCTGTATTGTGCTGTTTGTAATGTTTGTGTCCGGATGCCTGTTTTCAGGGTAAACCTGATCTGAACACGTCACTGCCGGTCCGACAGACGGCGTCCATCTTCAAACAGCCCGTCACCAAGGTCACAAATCACCCCAGCAACAAGGTTAAGACGGACCCTCAGAAAGCTGTTGACCAGCCCAGACAGGTAAACATCACATGTGCTGCTGCAGCTGTTTCCAAAGGAAATATTCAAAACTTTGGGGTCGGTACGATTTTTATAATGTGTTCAAATGAGTCTTTTCTGCTCACCAAGGCTGCATTTATTTGATTAAAAAAAAACAGTAAAATTGTGAAATATTATTAGAGTTTAATACAGCTGTTTTCTATGTGAATGTGTTCAAATGTAATTTATTTCTGTGATGCGCAGCTGTATTTTCAGCATCATTACTCCAGTCTTCAGTGTCACATGATCTTCAGAAATCATTCTAATATGCTGATTTGCTGCTCAAGAAACATTTCGTCATACATTTTATTTTTCTTTGATGAACAAAGTTCAAAAGAACAGCATTTATTTGAAAGTTTTTTGTAACAGTTATAAATGTCTTTAATATGGAAGCCTGTTTCTGTCACAGTATATAAAAAAGGGTAATTGAGACTTTTTATCTTGCAAAAAAAATAAAAAAATTGCGACAATTGTGAGATATAAAGTTGCAGTTAACTTTTTTTTTTATCCTGTGGTGGAAGCAGGCTTCCTTTGTCACATTTAATACATTTAATGTGTACTTGCTAAATAAAAATATTAATTAAAAACGTATTATATCTTACTCACCCCCAAACTTTAACAGTACAAGTCGACCGTAAATTATAGGCACTTTCACACCAGAGGAACCTTTTCATAGTTCCTACAACTATTGGTAGAAGTTCCCGCTTTTTAGCATGTTCGCACTGCAGGAACTAGGAACGTATTTAGTTCTAGGAACTCCATTTGGGGTTACTAGATTAGCTCCTACTTCAGAGCAGGGTCTAAAACTGTTGTATATTTGTACACTTGTACGCTGATTGGCCAAACGCTTACAAAACACCGGCTATCCGGCATTTTTAAAAAGCCATGTAAAAATATTTACTCCACGAACATGGAAAACGACGATAATTGCATTTACCTGTTGTGTTGTGTTCTTTTCTCAGCCTCGATGATATGAAACATTGCAAGTTGTCATAGGAGATTTAGTCAGATTTTCATGCTCTTTCAATCACATAAACTGTGTGTTTACATTCCATCTCGGTTATCACGAAACCCACAACATACACACCCCCAAAAAACAAAACAAAAACTCAGATCACGGCATCCTCCATTCACCGGTTGTTGACGTTTGTAAATGCTGCGAATAAAGACGTCACTATCAGCCGCTTCAGAGTTCCTGCTGCCGGTGCGAATGCAATCAGGAAAAAAACGGCCCGAGGGAGAAATTGGTTCTTTAGGAACGACCCTGCTGCCTAGTTCCTGAAACTACCTAATGACTGCAGCTGTCAAGCTCCGAAAAGATCAAAAAGAACCATAAAAGGCAATCTAGTCAATTAGTTACTGTAACACCCGAAGCAAACTTTAAATCATGTTTGGTCTGTATACTTCACAGCTGTTCTGGGAGAAAAAGCTGAGCGGACTCAACACTTGCGATATCGCAGAGGAGTTGGTGAAGACCATGGATCTTCCTAAAGGATTGCAAGGTGAAAATGGAAGAGCAGCTCTCATACAAACTGAATGAAATGAGCTCGAATCACTAGCTCATTTCCCACAGTACTGCAGGAGCAAACTTACTGTGACACTGAATAATGCAGTTAGGGGTGTGCGATATATATCGTCTGCGATAATATCGTAAAGCTGCTTTGCAACGATTTGTATCGTGAAAAGCTCTATACAACTAAAAAAATATATATATCGTAATTGTTGTTTTAATGATGTGCGATTTGACATTATCGAGTATTTTGCAAAAACCTTTCAAAGCATCCTACAGAGAGCACGCTTGTACATAAGTCTGTGAGTGCGCATTTAGAGTGCATTCTTTCACTGCATGATTCAGTATTAAAATGCGTTTAGAATGATCACAAAATTCAAGATATGGGGACAGAAAATGTATATATTTATATCATTTCATGTAGTTAATCAATATCACACAGAGAGTGCCGTTTTTATCTCCAAAGCTTACCATGATGTGATAATTGATTTTTTACAACAGTTCAAAAAACAAGAAGTTAATTAAGAGACTTACATTTTAGACACCATATCGCCTGTTTTCACTCTATTTCGACTACAAAAATTATTCCAAACAAAGCCACAGCACTGTTTTGTGTCTCTGAGCAACATGACAGTGTTTAGTTCCTGAATTAATCAACTGTTTAAATGATTCGGTTCAATCGCAATGAATCACTTATTAACAGTGACTTGCTGCCACCTACTGGCGGTTTTAATTTCACATTTAAAGTTTCTTTTTATTATTTAGATAAATTGGAATAACAGTCTCCAACGTTTTATGTTTAATATATCAAAACATTATTTATGCATTAGTAACTGCAGGTTAAATGCATTCATGTCTTGTGTGTAAACACATCTAAATGCCTCTTCAGACGCAGCTTCTGTGTTTCCTCTGCATTGCAAAGATGAATTTTATTGATACTGATTTAATTTGCTTAGTAACAGCCCAAATGTCTTATTATTCTGTAATTCACTGATTAAATGTAGGAATTTGATTTAAAAGATAATGGACACTTTTAGAAAAATGACTTTATAAAGGTAAAAATGCCCATTAAAAGGTATTCAGATGCAGCTTCTGTGTTTCCTCTGCATTGCAAAGATGAATTTTATTGATACTGATTTAATTTGCTTAGTAACAGCCCAAATGTCTTATTATTCTGTAATTCACTGATTAAATGTAGGAATTTGATTTAAAAGATAATGGACACTTTTAGAAAAATGACTTTATAAAGGTAAAAATGCCCATTAAAAGGTAAAAATGTATTTAAACTTATTGGAAAAGATTCATTTCTATCACTGCTGTGAGCTGACCACAACACAGAATATGAAAAATATCAAAAACTTTAGGAGTCAGCTGTCCACAACAGTCCTTAAGATACCAGCACAACAACACGCTCAGCAAAATATCGTCATCGATAAAATCCCAGAAGATATCGAGATATTACTTTTTGTCAATATTGCACACCCCTAAATGCAGTATTGTGTTTGTAAGTGGTGTGATGTTTGATATGGCAGGTGTGGGTCCGGGTTACACAGATAAGACGCTGCTCTCGGCTCTAGCGAGCGCCCTGCACACCAGCTCGGCTCCCATCACGGGTCAGCTGTCTGCCGCGGTGGAGAAGAACCCCGGAGTCTGGCTCAACACCACACAGCCTCTGTGCAAAGCCTTCATGGTGACGGACGAAGACATCAGGTACGAGCTGACACTCCACAGTGTTTGTGGTGGAGTTTAGCTCTAGACCTAATTAAACACACCCTGAAGTAGCTCATCACAGGGATCACTAGAAACTCCCAAGCTGGTGTTTTGGAGCTAAACTGTGCAGGAAAGGAGGCCTTCTTTGTCATAACGTAATGTTTTCTTCTAGCTTAGGTTCACTTAGGGAGTATTCTTCTGAATATAGTTGTACATGATTGTCTGATTCTTAGGGCTGGATAATTTTGCCAAAATTTATATCACGGTATATTTCTTAATTTCGGTCAATATCGATATGAACACTATTAAAGAAAGCCTCGTAAAAACTGCCAAGAACACCCACAACTGATATCTGTACCTACAAACTTATGAAAAATTAATTTGCCAAGTCTATGAAACATCCTCCTATAAAACTATATCATATTTTAGGGGAAAAAAAAACAGCACAAATAAATTAATGTTCACCTTTTATTAGTATTTAGCCTTCATACGAACTAGAAATCATTGTCAATTAAATAAACATCTCTGACTCACCTTATTAATATTAATATCTTTAACTTCAAACTATAGGCTAACATACACTACCAGTCAAAAGGTTTTGAACGGTAAGATTTTTAATGTTTTTTAAAGAAGTCTCTTCTGCTCAACAAGCCTGCATTTATTTTTATTATTGATCCAAAATACAGCAAAAACAGTAAAATTTTGAAATATTTTTACTATTTAAAATAACTGTTTTCTATTTGAATATCTGTTAAAATGTAATTTATTTATGTGATGCGCAGCTGTATTTCCAGCATCATTACTCCAGTCTTCAGTGTCACATGATCTTCAGAAATCATTCTAATATGCTGATTTGCTGCTCAAGAAACATTTATTATTGTTGAAAACAGCTGAGTAGAATTTTTCAGAAAAGTTTGGAAGAACAGCATTTATCTGAAATAGAAATCTTATGTAACATTATAAATGTCTTTATCATCATTTTGATAAATTTAAACTAAAGCATCCTTGCTAAATAAAAGTATTAATTTCTATAATTTCTTAAAATAAAAAAAAATCCAAGCCTTTTAATGGAATAGTGTATAATGTTACAAAATCTTTTTTATTTCAGATAAATGCTGCTCTTTGGATCTTTCTGTTCATCAAAGAATCCTGAAAAAAAATTTACTTATCAGCAAAGCAGCATATTAGAATGATTTCTGAAGATCATGTGACACTGAAGACTGGAGTAATGATGCTGAAAATACAGCTGCGCATCACAGAAATAAATTACATTTGAACAGATATTCAAATAGAAAGAAGTTATTTTAAATAGTAAAAATATTTCACAATTTTTACTGTTTTTGCTGTACTTTGGATCAAATAAATGCAGCCTTGGTGAGCAGAAGAGAATTCTTAAAAAAAATAAATAAATAAAAAAAATCTTACTGTTCAAAAACTTTTGACTGGTAGTGTAGGCTGATTATTCTTATAGATTGAAACAAATGTGCATTCATATAAAACACCCACACCGCGTTTTGATTTTGAAACGTGCAGTGCTCGTGTTTATTCAAACACCACAAGTAAATCAGTGAATGGGAAACACTGGTAATGTATATCGGAAATGTGTTTAAAAATCATATCACCCTTATTGAAAAAAAATTATATCTCGATACATATCGATATTGAATTATTGTCCAGCCCTACTGATCCTTACAGTAAAACAGGCCGTTATTTTTTACTGCTGACTCTTTTAAAACATCTGTATAAACACCTCATCACATGAGAAACAGCACTTTTCTGTGAGTTTAATGTCACATCCATTCAATAACAGTCTCTGATAAAAAAAAAATCATTTTAATTCTTCTGCTGTTTAGGAATAAACTCATTTAGATCTGCATTGATTTTTTTTCTGTCTAACCTAGGGTTATCATCGTTTATGAAAACTAAGTCCATAATAAAGAATTGTTATTAACATATTAATATTAAAGCATTAGCTGAATTAAAATTTAAAAAAGGTTCTTTATTTTGTTATTTTATTTCAGCTAGTCTAAAAGTTTTTTTATTTTATTTAGCAACATTTCTAATTGTCTTTTGGTTGTCTAAACTACAACGAAATAAAAATTAATAAAAACTATATAGCCAAAAAAAGTTCAGTTTAATTTGAAGTGCTAAAATAACTAAAACTAAATAAAAACAAACTATGTAGACAAAAAAAAAAGACAAAAACACAACAAAATTACTAAAATGAAAACGAAAACAGCAGATTTAAACATTTAAAATAAATGAAAAATAAAGTGTAATACAGAATAGTAATAGTATATTAGTAATACTATAATAACTCACGAGTCGCTTCTGTGGTTTAGTTTCAGTAAATGCTCCTGTTGGACTGGGAAGGATGTCTGGAGTCTGAAAGCTCCATCCAGTATGTTACAGTAGAATAATGAACGTTTAATGAAGATGACCGATATTCGAATGCTTGATTGAAATGCACTGCGTCGTCTACAGGAAGCAGGAAGATCTGGTGTATAACGTGAGGAAGAGGCTGGAGGAAGCGCTCATGGCAGACATGCTCGCACACATAGAGGAAGCCACCATCGAGGCCAAATCTCTGAAGGAAGAGTCCACCGACGAGGAAACGGAGTCTGTATAGCTGTAAGAGAAAGAACAAGTGTGACCCTGGAGCACAAAAGCAGTCTTAAGTCGCTGGGGTATATTTGTAGCAATAGCCAACAATACATTGTATGGGTCAAAATTATTGATTTTTCTTTTATGCCAAAAATAATTAGGATATTAAGTAAAGATCATGTTCCATGAAGATACTTTGTAAATGTCCTACCATAAATATATCAAAACTTAATTTTTGATTAGTAATATGCATTGCTAAGAACTTCATTTGGACAACTTTAAAGATGATTTTCTCAATATTTAGATTTTTTTTGCACCCTCAGATTCCAGATTTTCAAATAGTTGTATCTCAGCCAAATATTGTCCTATCCTAACAAACCATACATCAATGGAAATACTATTTATTAATTTACTCTCAGTTTAGGAAAATTGACCCTTATGACTGGTTTTGTGCTCCAGGGTCACAATTATCTGCAAAACAAAACAAATTTTAGTTAATTTGCTATTTATGTATACAGGTTTTTTTTTTTATTTTCTTTTATTGATTTTGTATTGTTTACATATTAATTTAATTTGTATTTGAAGTTAAAAAAATTTTTTTTTTTTTTTATATCTTAATATCCCTAATGCCGCTGTCGTTACCTTCACATCAAGCATTTTAGAAAACCAATGAATTGTGAACCAGTGCATTAGCCAGCTAGCTGCATTAAACCAAACTTTGAAGGCCAGGATCAGATCTGTGTTCAAGGACATGTATTGAAAGGTTCGGCACGGAGGAAACGCTTTGAAGAAGATCTGGTTTAAGTTTGATTGTAATGCTGTTCATCTCTGTGTCGGCAGGAAATCGGTGGCGATGGGAACGACCTGGACGACAGTATTTTTCCTCCCCAAACCCAAAGACGCACTCAGACTCAGACTTGAGCTGATCCTATGCAGAAACCAGCCTTTCTTCTCCAACTCAACTGTGAAGATTTGTTTTACCATAACATTTCAAGCAGTTTTATTAAACCAAATCCACTTCTAACTTGAACTTGTTTGAAGTGGATTTGCTCTGTTTTTGTACAGTATGAGCTTAAAGTTTGGGCAGGTTTGGGTTTCCAGCATCACGCAGTGGGTTTGACTGAGTTTCAGTGCTGTCGGTATGTTTATTCAGACATCGTAAGCTAATTTCAAATCATGAACGTTTTTTTTTTTTACACAAACAAAATGCCATGTTTTTATGACTGATTCTGGAAATAATGTACTAGTAGTGCATACTAGTTTGTGATGGCTGGTACAAATACGGTGCTCAATTCTTCCTGGTTCCTTTATATTTTAGCTGTTGTTATAGTGCTGTTTGAGTCTAGACATGACATAAGCTCTTACGTTGGTGCTTAGGTTTTTGTATTCATGAGTTTGTCAATGCATAGCTGATATCACAGTTATTTTTTTAGTTGCATCAGATTGGATCAAGCTGTTTGTGTTGCTGTATGAAGCTGGTACATTTGTCATCATTCACTGATGCAGCGTGGTTTATTATTACGGACTGAATGGTTACAGTACAGAATGGCGTGTTAGTAGATGGCGTGTTTTTCACTTACACTAATTCTTCACACACCCATGATTGAATTTAATAGATGATTGACTCATACCCTGATGTTTTTTTCTTCGAAATGTGAAATATATTTGAAATATGCAGGAGAGGTGTTTTTGTATGTTATTGCAAGAAAGCTTAGATGACGTTTTGAAAATACAAACCTTGTAGCTGAAGGACACATAATTTTGTAAACTTGGAAAATAAAAGTCTTTCAACACACGTCGGCACATTCACGTTTTATTTTAATGCAAATATCTCATCATATTTCAAAGAAAGCAAATGTAGAGTCACAAACCTTTATCACTAATTAAATGTTTCATTTTATACATGTGTTTTTATGTATCAATATCTAAAATGTACTTAACGGTTGTTATTATTAAATGTGTTTATAGTATACAATATATTTTTGAAATCAAATTTATAAATGTATTAAATTGTAATCATTATAATTAACATATTTGTTAAATGTATTTAATAGTTAAATATGTTTATAATAAAATTTATGGAATTTTGAAATCATCTTGTTGAATAAATATTCATAAAATGTATTTATGAAATTTAAATCACATGTATATTCATATTTAGTTAAATATAAAACTTAATAGTAAAATACTATATAATGGTACTGATTTTGTGTGTATATATATATATATATATATATATAAATTATTGATTTTTCTTTTATGCCAAAAATCATTAGGATATTAAGTAAAGATCATGTTCCTTGAAGATATTTTGTAAATTTCCTACCGTAAATATATCAAAACTTAATTTTTGATTAGTAATATGCATTGCTAAGAACTTCATTTGGACAACTTTAAAGATGATTTTCTCAATATTTAGATTTTTTAGCACCCTCAGATTCCAGATTTTCAAATCTCAGCCAAATATTGTCTTATGTAATGTATTTATAAAATATATTTATGAAACTGAATCATTAGAACATACAGATTGTGTGTTATACATAGTGGACATATTATTGTAATATTTATTTATTTGCCAGTGGCCTTTTTTATTGCAGAAAAAAAGGAACATATAAATAATAATACAAATAAGAATCAAAACAAAAAATAAGCATAACTCGCATTCAATTTTAACAAATAAAGATATTACAAAGTACCGGGGGGATTGAAGATTGTATCATAGTGTTTTAAACATATCAGTCTTGTTGAAGAAATATAAAAGTAAAAATTAGAACAAAACATTTGGAGATGAATTAAGATATGTTGTTTATGTATGTGAAATTTTGCTAATAAAATAACAAGGTTAACAATAAATTCTAGATCGTCAGTGCTTTTGTTTTCATAATACAAGAGAACACCCTTTAAAGTAAAGCAATAATTAATATTCATTAAATTAAATCTAAATTTGCCAGTGGCCTTTGACCCCATTGTTGTGCGCCGGTGACGTCAGCGCCGCGAGCGCGAGAGAGAGAGAGCGCGAGAGAGACAAAGACGGCGAAACGAACGGGAGAAAGCGCTATAACACCTCTCTAGCGTTCCACGCGTGAAAACGGCCAGAAAAACAATGAGCAGACCGCGCGAGTGAGCGGTGCAGAGGCGGGACGCGTGATCCGAACGCGCGCTGGGGGTCGGTTTTAACCGCGAATGCTTTTAAAACGAGTCTTTTCCTCCAACGCCCCCAACGATTAGCAGCTCCGCTAGCGGTTAGCCATCATCACCTTCTCCCTCATCCTCCACAAAACACCCGACGCGAGCGGCGAGCGGGACGGGAGCACATAAGGTGAGGTTTTGCCGCTTTATTTAACGCGTCTCCGTGGTAATATCTTGTTCGCCGGTTTCCGTATCGCCCGCGTGGCGCGCGGCTGAGATCCACAAACAAAGGCGACAATGTGACTGATCGTCTCCGGTTAGCGGCGCGGCTAACAACACTTCAACTCCAGTATCTCCGTTTAAACTCACGATTCCGCCGGTTTGGAGTCGCCTTCGCACGCGTCACGCTCCTGCCGCGAGCTTGGCTAAATAACGGCCGCTTGTCATGAAATGTACGTTAACCGCGTTGTGAGACTACAACGCGGCGCTAAAGAGCAGCAGAAACAATAAAGACAAAAGAGACGCGCGGCGTGGAGCGCGAGAAAACAACAAGCACACTCGCTCTGTAGTGCGCACTAGGACTGCTTTCAGTGTTTCTAGATGGTTTGCGTCACTTCTCAAGGTGTTTGATGGGTTTAAATGTGACCCAGGACCACAAAAACTCTCATACGGGGCTTTTTTTTTTTTTAATTGAGATTTATGTATCATCTGAAAGCTGAATAAATAAGTTCAAATGGTGTGTTAGGATAGGACAATATTTGGCTGAGATACAACTGTGAAAATCTGGAATCTGAGGGTGCAAAAGAAAAAATATTGATTTTAAAGTTCTTAGCAATGCATATTATTAATCAAAAATGTAGTTTTGATATATATACGGTAGGAAATTTACAAAATATCTTCATGGAACATGATCTTAATATCCTAATGATTTTTTGCATAAAAGGTTAATTGATCATTTTGACCATTTTGCAATGTATTGTTGGCTATTGCTACAAATATACCCCAGCGACTTAAGACTGTTTTTGTGCTGCAGGGTCACATATGTGTTTTTTCCTTCTAGGAAGCGTGCTTGGTTCGTTGTCTGATGCGCACGCGGGGACGACTATGCCTAGCCCGTTGTTTCACCCTGACATCATGGATCACGAGATGGTTGTGAGCAGCACCGGACAGTCCAGCGGGGTCACTGAGCAGGAGCCCAGGGCCGAGAACCATCAGGAGGCGCTGCGCTTCGCTCTGGATCAGCTGTCACTCATGGCGCTGGAGAAGGTCGACTGTCTGGATGGGACCTCGGCCGGTGAGAACTGTAACGGGGGATACGTTGATCTGCAGATGCTCGAGCACAGCAACGGCTCCCAGGAATCACCCGGCTCCTGCTCGCCTTCTCCGGAGTACTACAGCTCGGGCGGTGGCGGCGGATACCACATGGCCAGCCCACACTCCTCCATCCTCGGGGAACAAAGCTCGGTGCTCCGCAAGAGAAGCGTCAACATGACCGAGTGCGTGGCGGTGCCCACGTCAGAGCATGTGGCTGAGATCGTCGGCAGACAAGGTAATATTTACTAAAACGATCGTAAACAATAGTAAACCAACCATTCTTTATGATGCAAGAGATGATAAACAATAGAAGCAATGCAGTAGAACAATAAGTAGTTATTCGCCTGCAAGATATTAATATTTTAATCTCATGTGTGTTCTGAGAGATGATAAACAATAAATGCAATGCATTTGAACAATTGGAAAGCATTGCATGTAGTTATCTGCGTGCAAAATATGAGTATTTTAGTATTATTTATGTTCCAAGAGATGGTAAACAACACATGCAATGCACTTGAACAACAGGAAAGCATTGCAGGTAGTTATTTGCGTGCATGATATGAAATTGTTCCAGAAGATAAACAAATGCAATGCATTTTAACAATATGAAAGCACTAAAGGTAGTTATTTGCATGCAAAATATGAGTATTTTAATATTATGTTACAAGAGATAATAAACGACAAATGCAATGCACTTGAACAATAGGAAAGCATTGCAAGTAGTTATTTGCGTGCAACATGTGAAGTTTTTCCAAAAGGTAACAATTGCAATGCATTTTAACAATATGAAAGCGCTAAAGGTAGTTATTTGCATGCAAAATAGGAATATTCAGTAATATTCTTTGTTTCAAGATATATAAACAATAAATGCAATGCATTTGCACAATAGGAAATCATTGCAAGTAGTTAAAATAGGACTTGTGTTCCAAAATATGCTAAAAAAAAAATGCAGTCGAACAATAAATCAGTATAACCTTACTGGGATCAGTCATGTGACCTGTCTTAAGTTGTTTACTGGTTAGTTGCATTGAAAATATGATTGTTTATCTAAATTCTTTGTTCTGGAATAGTAAATTGCATTTGAACGATATGAAAATCATCACTTTAATCGTCTGAGATTGCATGCAGAAGCTGTGATTTGAATATTCACTCCCGTTCTGTGTTCCTGGACATCATAAACAAAGCAATGCAGTGCATCATAACAATAAGCCGGCGTTATAAGCAGAAGTGAGCAGCCAGTTGCACGTGCGTTATGCTTCTGGCGTTGTTTTGGAACGCATGCACGGGTGTTTTGGTGCTTTTAGTCGTTTTGGCGGATGCTTTTAGTCGTTTTGGCGGATGTTTGTCCTTCATAAACATCAGTAGTGTGTCGTGGGGTGGATGGATGGAGGGATGTTGTGGCTGTGGGGGTGGAGGAGGGGTTTGGGAGGGGGTCTGCTCATGCCTAAACCAGACAATAGAGACTCGTATCGACCGCTGCGGCTTCACGGTTCTCCCGCCCATCTCTCTGTCTGCTGATTATCGATCTCTGATTGCGTTTCGTTCAGGATCCGGAGCGTTATAAATGAACGCAGACAGGGGTCATGTGAGGATACGAGTTATGCAAGTATAGAGGGCCGGGGTTTGCGCACTATGGCTCTGCGCGGTGCATTACAGCACTGATGCCCTTATTTGTTAAACACCCGTGAGAAATCATCTGAAATGATTTGGTTCATGTAAAACAAGCGTGATTTCTGCGAGCGGCGCGAGGCTTGGCTCTGCGCGGCTTTGTTCTCTTTGTTTGAAATGCCATGCGTTCAGCTTCCCGCGATGACGTCACAGAGCGGCCGCGCTATTGGCTGAGTGACGTAAGCCATGCGGATTTAAAGGAACAGTGCGCCTCTGTGCGGCCGCTGATGAATGAAGAAAACAATGCACGCCAATGACTTAAATCTTTAATTTTTTTTTTTGCACTTTATTATCAATGTATGGGTTAGTTTGAGTAAATTCTGAAGTATTTAAAACGCTATACTTGCAGGTTTTATGTGACCTGGTAATATGCTTGTTTGTGACCCTGGACCACAAAACTAGTCATATTTTTTTTGAAAGCTGAATAAATAAGCTTTCCATTGATGTATGGTTTGTTAGGATAGGACAATATTTGGCTGAGATACAACTATTTGAAAATCTGGAATCTGAGGGTGCAAAAAAATCTAAATATTGAGAAAATCATCTTTAAAGTTGTCCAAATGAAGTTCTTAGCGATGCATATTACTAATCAAAAATTAAGTTTGATATATTTATGGTAGGAAATTTACAAAATATCTTCATGGAACATGATCTTTACTTAATATCCTAATGATTTTTGGCATAAAAGAAAAATCTGTAATTTTGACCCATACAATGTATTTTTGGCTATTGCTACAAATATACCCCAGCGACTTGTCACATATGAAAGTGTTACTATTATTGAATTTAATTAATAATTTTTATATTCAAGTATGTG